GTTACTCGTTGATGAGTCTATAAATATTTTATTATTTTAAATAATAAAAAAATCAAAGAGTAAAATAAAAATTAATTAACTCTAATTGTGATATATATATATATATAACTTGTAATTGATTATTTATTTTTTAAAAAATAATTTATATTATAAGAGTGTTTAATTTTAGTTAATGAGTCCATAGAAAAAAAGAACCATTAATTATAAAAAAAATATTTTGAGCAAATAATAAATAATAAAGAATAAAGAATGAAAAACTATTTTGAGTAAATAATAAATAATGAAAAAGTGTAAAAAAGAAAGGAAAAAAAGGCTAGGCTAGGCTAACATCAAGCCCATCTGTATGGGCTTAGAGTCAAACGAGCCTATATAATTGAATTGGAAGCACGACCTAGTCATAAAAATACAAGAACCTATCTAAAGTACATATTTAATTAAAAGATCGTTTTGAATAATGTTATAAATTAAAGAACTAAAGTGTAAAAAACTAGATAGATTGAAGAAAAAACATTTTTTTTAGAAAATGACACCGTTTCAAGCAAAAAAGGCTCAAAACAATGTCATTTTAGTTTACTCGTAACGAGGCTTGGCTACAACAAAACACCATTCTCTTTTAGATCATTTACTAATTAGTTGTCCATGCGACACTACATATTAAATATAATAAGTAAAATTATTTGAAAATATTATTTCAATTTAATAGCATATACTATGTTGCAAATTTACTAAAATCTATTGAATTAAAAGTAATTTAAAAATATCTAATTTTATAATTTATTCTTTCTTGTATTTTTCATAAATTTTGTAGTTAAACAACATAATTTGTTCTTCCTTTTGTATTGATTCTTAAATAAAAAATATAATAATAAAAAATTAGAATTTTTTATTATTATATTTTTTATTTAAGAATCAATACAAAAGGAAGAACAAATTATGTTGTTTAACTACAAAATTTATGAAAAATACAAGAATTTTTTTAAATGCGTTAATATTTTTTATAAGATTGCATTGTAAAAATGAAGCAATAATTAATACAAAAATTTATGCAAAAATTAATAAATGAGTTTTTTATTCTTATTTAAATAGTATGCATTTGGTAAATATAAAAAGAAAATTGATATTTTATAAAAATAAATATTGACTTCTACAATCTCGCATGACTTAAGTGGGATTTTTAGTGATGCACAAAAGAAAATAAATGTAATCATGCATCGAAGAAATTAAAATAAGATCATGTGATTAGTTTTGAGTTTCTTGTATGATAAGTTGATAACAATTTGTAGACATGCCACAAAGACTACAAAAGCAAAGGTATAAATCACTACATGGATTTTGATCGGTACATATGAAGAGGACAAAGATTTGATAGACAATAATTTTTCAAGTTTATATAGCTCGTGTTACCAAATATTTCTATTTTATTAACAATATTTAAAGAATTCACAGATTGAACTAGGATCGACTTTAGAGTCTTTGGTTCATCCTTTTGTCTTTAATGTAGAATGAAAAGCACTTCATATCCCCCCAACAAATTCATGTGGATAAATTTGGTTGTCACATATTCAAAGCAAAGAAAGAAAGCTCGATAAAATACGCCAATCTAAAAATTCAAAAACAATTGTATGAATTAGCAAACTATCCTCAAAATAAAATGCAAACCGTAAAAAAGTATAAAAACAAAATTAGTGCATAATATGATGTTCATTCTAGTAGAGAATAAAAGAAACATAGTGGATCGGATCATTAGCAAAAGTAGAAACTCAAAATTCACTCTCTTATATTTTTTGTAAGGTTAAATTTAAGAACCGACCAATAGCACTTGTAAGTAAGATTTGGGCAAAAAATGTTGTTAAATATACAATTTACCGAAAAAAAAAAAAAGACAAGACAACGTTTGCTATTAAATTTTAGTAGATTTAGTAAGTTGACAACCAATAAAAATTTTGAAGTTCATGCAACTTAAGCAAAATATAAAACAAGTAATAATCTATATAAAATTAAGAGGCATCAACAAGTAATTAACTATTGGCTTAATACTATATGTATTCTTTTGATCATTTCGTCAAGATGTTTACCTTTTTCAATCATCGATTCCCAAGTTATGCTTTAAATGAATTCAAAATCAAGAAATTCAAATTAATACCGATACAATCTATTGACACACAAAAATTTTCTCTATAGCATAATAATAGAAGTAAGACCATCCAAATTTTTAGTAAAATAAAAGTTAAAAGAATAGTTCTTGTGAAGTCGGCAAAATTCACATGCAAATCTTCTTAGATGGATCTCATCTCAATTCCATTTAGATCAATCACATGAAAAACAACAAAACATAATTAGACCACAACAATTTTAAAATGCATAATAAAGAGAAAACCAATTGATAAATGTTTATAATCGATCGAGTGTGAAACAATAATTAGTCAATTCTTATCGTTTCTTTTGACACCGTCCATAAACTATATAAGCGTTACAATAAAGATCCCATTTTTTGGTCCATGCTTCAAAGCATACTCCAATTTACGTCCACCAAAATTGTAACCAATGTTAAGGTTCCACAAAATCATGAAATCTATTAAAAAAAAGGCATTTTTAATGTGTTTTGGAAGTAAAAGACAATAAAGAACTCCTAATAATACAACCAACCTAACCAAAGAATTAAGATGATTGTAAAATTTCTCTCTTATGTAGATCCAATGTGCAAGCCTATTTTACAACAAAATACCTCCATCAAACTACCATTTCATGTTAAAAAGTAAAATTTATGCCATAAAAATGTAAAAGGTATCCGAACCACTAAATGAGTACATTGAGGATGCAAAGTAGGGCTATATTGACCACTTAATCTCTATGTTGCTTCTATGACTTTTTCCTCGCTTCTATGTAAAAAGAATTTCAAATTTAAACACTATTTATTTAGTTAATCAAACAACAATTGAATTTTCTTTATTTGTTGAAAAAAATTAAAAATTAACATATTATATAACTAGAAGACGTAATAAAAAGATGAAACAACACATCACATAAAGTCACCTCTAACCATGAAGTTCTACTAATTCTATTTAAGATGAGTGGCCTCTAAAAAACTACAAAAGATAAATTAAACTATCTATCATTATGCAAAAATCATCTTGCAAACCTAAAAATAAACAGGAGTTGTTGTAGTTCGCAGTCTCTAGGAGAGAGTGCTTGCTTTATGGCCAATTTACCTAGAGTTCACAAAGAACACAAGCTTACCAAATTTAGAGTTGGAAGATTAGTGGATTAAATTCAAGGACAAAGGATCAAGAACAAGGAACTTCATGCCAAATATACGACTAACGGACCCAACATCCACTACGATTGAGTAATGGATAGCCCTCCAAAAGGACTTCAAAAGATCTATACCACAAAGTTAATATCTAAAATAGAAAATCCACTTAATTAACTTAGCAAATGGATATTGTAAAAGCATGACAAAAGGATGGTGGATAGCAAGTATTTATTAATTAAATTACGTCATGGCATATTTTTTTAATAGGAAAGATAAATGTTTAAGCTAGTCCAAGATCGACTATTTTAAGCATCATGGTCTTGCAGTTCGTCAAGAGGTTATGAGGCTTAAGATTGTTGAGAAAAAGAGAGATAAATGGTTAATATATGAGAAAACTACATAATAAGTATATCAATTTTAAATATTTTCTCAATCTAGTACATTAACTTTTATTTTTTTTTGTTTTAGTATATCAATTTGTTCAAAAATACCAATCAAGCTTTTCTCGTCCAATTTTTTGTCTAATGATGACGTGGCGATTAACATAGAAGGCTAAATGACTATTTTGCCCTTTTTTTCTCCTAAATTGTTATCATTATTTAATTATTAATTAAAACAGAAAGCAAAAAAGCTATTTTGCTATCTTTTTTTTTAAATTAAGCTACTTTGCTTTTTTTTTTTTTTTAATTAAGCTACTTTGATTTTTTTAATTAATAATTAAACAATAATAACAATTGGAGGAGGAAAGGAAAAAAAAAGAGGCAACATAGTCATTTAGTCTTTTCTATTAATTGCCATGTCATCGTTAGACGAAAATTTGAATGACAAAACTTGATTGAAATTTTTGAAAAAGTTAATATACTCGAAATGAAAAAAAAGTTGATGTACTTGATTAAAAAAAAATTCAAAGTTGATATGGTTATTATATAGTGTTTTCGTTAATATATATATATATATATATATATATATATATATATATATATATATATATATATATATATATATATATTGGAATTTTTGAAAAAGTTAATATATTGAAATGAAAAAAACGTTGATGTACTCGATTAAAAAAAAAGTTCAAAGTTGATATGATTATTATATAGTGTTTTCGTTAATATATATAGAAAGAATCATTTCCATCTAAACTAACATCATGAGGGAAATGACTAGTGTATGATGAGAGTTGGTAAAGTAAAAATAAAAAATAAAAGGAAATTGTCACTATCTAATCTTCTCCAAGTCCCTACCACCATCATCCATTTTTCTAGCCATCTTCGATCATCCCTAAAACTCCAGCCACACCTAAATTCGATGGTGTTTGATAAAATTAAAAATTAAGTGTTGAATACGTTAAGTACTCGAATTTTAAATGTCGAATAATTAAATACCGAATATATTGTTGACGAGTTATTTGGTATTTACTAAAAATTAAGTATTAAATATAATAAGATTGTTTGATAAATATTTTTGCTGAACATATTAAGGCTATATACCTAACAATTTTAACCTTACAATTATAAGATTTCATCCTTTAAGTTGTTTGAAAAGTTAAAGATATGCTTAATCTTGAAAAAACTACATACTTGGAAGTTCAAAATAGAAAGAAAATTTAAAAAGATGGAATTAATCTATTCATCTTCCAAACAAAATTAAAAAAATTTCTTCAAGCATAAGAACCCCTGTCGAGAGTAACCATACGGGTTAGAGCATCTTGATATCGTGAGCCTCTAGAATATCCACCACCTAATTACATATTTTCATCCACCTTAGAATAACCAACCTTAGCGGCTCGGCCTAATACCCGTAATCTCCCACCACCACCACCATATCCAAAATGGCTAAAACTTTGCCTTCCATCAATGAAAGATGAGTTGTCTTGCCACTTACCACTTGTAGTAACCACATTAGCAACATCCTAACCATCTCTCTACCTCCGAGGCAAATTGCCACCACCAATTCTTGCCTTTGTTGCCCTTTCATTACTTTCAGCAAGGATTGACGACTTATTTGTTAACTAGAATATTGCCCGAGCTTGTAGCCTTGTGTGCTCCATGCCATGGAAGACAATGCACTCGTGTTGGCTGGTCCTCGCCCACTAATCTGGATTTGATTTTCTCGTCCACAAAAAAGTTTCTCCGGATGTAAAAAGCACTTGGTTCGAGAAATCAACTTGATAAATTATTGTCTCTATTTTGCATTGATGATCGAGTGGGGATCAAAGGTTGCTAAACGATCCTAATAATGAACCTAGTTAATGATTTTGCCCTAAAATCAAGTATAGTTAGGTTATAAGAATATATAAGGGTTATATAGTCATATTAATTTTTTTTTAATTTTTTAACCGAATGTGTTAATAAAAAAATTTTAAGTTAAAGACTTTAACTTATCTAATTAAGTAGATATTGACTCGAATTTAAATTTTAAATATGAAATTATTTAAATTATCAAATAAATTTTTTATATTAAGTACTATAACTTAATTTTTTAAACTATTTAAATAGATTATTAGACACACCCTTTAAACCACCAACCACCCAACTCAAACAGTTAAAGTTGATAAAGTAAAAAAAGAGAAAAAAAAATTGTGTTCAATCCTCTCTATGTCTTTGTCGCCACCGTCCCTCTTTCTAGCCATCGCCGATCATCCCCAAAACTTCAACCACTCTTAACTTTCCCACAAATCACCAACCACCCAACTCAAATAGCCACACAAAACTCCGACTACCAAAACTCGTTATCAACAATACCCATTGCCTTCTTACACTACAAAACCTAGCCACCAAAGCCCACTGCCAACATCCCTACCTCCCTCCTCCGTACCAAATCTCAACAACCAAAACCCATTGCCAACATCCCTACCTCCCTCCTCCGTACCAAATCTCAACAACCAAAACCCATTGCCAAAAGTCCCACATCCATTAGCAACGCAAAAGGGCAACATAACGCTTATGAACAGTAAAATGTACAATACAAATGAGTAAATGCCACAATATTTTATTTTTTTATTATTATTTTTTTAAGAGTAAATGGACCAATGTAAACTTTAAACCTTAAATTAATCAAAATGCCAACGCCAAATCTCCAAATTACCCACCCTCAATCCGCATTATTACCATCCGTCAGCCATCAAAGATCAGCGATCGCCACCTTAAGCTTAAAGATCCCTAACCGCCCTTTATTACCCACTAATCCATAGCTAAATCAAGGGCAATTCGGTCACACAAAATTCAAAACCTTGGACTTTCCCGTGAGACAAACAAAACCCAAAACCCGATCTAAATCTAGACACACAGAGCTCTTTCTCGCTCTCTCTCCGGGTCTCTCTTTCCCCTTTCCCATTTCCCTCTTCTACAAATCACTCTCTCCTTTACATGTCATCAAATCTAAACCAGCCAAACAAGGCCTAACATTCCCTGTTCGGATCGAAACTTACTGTGTCACGAGCTCACTCACCTTCCTGACTCGGGAATGGCTTCCTCGGAAGCCTATTCCCGGTTAAGCCAAGTAGTTTCCCCTGCTTTAGAAAAAATCATAAAAAATGCGTCGTGGCGAAAGCATTCGAAACTAGCACACGAATGCAAATCCGTCCAAGAAATTCTCACGTCACCACAACCGCGACAACAACCTCCTCCGCCTTCCCCTTCGGACGATTCCTCCCCCTCCGAATCCTCTCTCCCTGGCCCACTCCATGACGGCGGGTCTCACGAGTACTCCCTCGCCGAATCTGAATCAATACTCAGCCCTCTGATCAACGCGTGCAACACTCAATTTCTCAAGATCGTTGATCCAGCCGTCGATTGCATCCAGAAATTGATAGCGCATGGGTACCTACGTGGCGAAGCAGACCCCACCGGAGGTACAGAAGCGAAATTGTTAGCTAAATTGATTGAATCTGTGTGTAAATGCTACGATTTAGGGGATGATGGTGTAGAATTGTTGGTTTTGAAAGCCCTGTTATCTGCCGTTACGTCGATTGCGTTAAGGATTCATGGAGATTGTTTGTTACAAATAGTGAGGACTTGTTATGATATTTATCTAGGGAGTAAAAATGTGGTTAATCAAACCACGGCGAAAGCCTCGTTGATTCAAATGTTAGTTATTGTGTTTAGGAGAATGGAGGCTGACTCGTCTACGGTTCCGATTCAGCCAATTGTCGTGGCTGAATTAATGGAACCAGTGGAGAAATCGGATGTGGATGGGTCAATGGCAGTGTTTGTTCAAGGTTTTATAACGAAAATTATGCACGATATTGATGGGGTTTTGAATCCAGGGACACCAAGTAAGGCTTCGATGATGGGGGCACATGATGGGGCTTTTGAGACTACAACTAGTACAGTGGAGAGTACAAATCCGGCAGATTTGCTTGACTCCACTGATAAGGATATGTTGGATGCGAAGTACTGGGAGATTAGTATGTATAAGACGGCTTTGGAAGGGAGGAAAGGGGAGTTGGCGGATGGGGAAGGGGAGAGAGATGATGATTTGGAAGTGCAGATTGGGAATAAGTTGAGGAGAGATGCATTTTTGGTGTTTCGAGCACTTTGTAAGTTGTCTATGAAAACGCCACCCAAAGAAGCATTGGCAGATCCACAGTTGATGAGAGGGAAAATTGTCGCGCTGGAGTTGTTGAAGATTTTGTTGGAGAATGCTGGTGCTGTTTTTAGAACTAGTGACAGGTACAATCTATGTTATACCTTTATTGTGTATATATTCATTCTGGATTTTGGATTTTTTGGTTTCCCATTAATTTTTTTTTCACATTTCATTTGAATTTTATTGTTATAAACTTGTTGAAATATTTGATAACTATTTTACGTAAAATGATATATGCATTTACACCATCTGCAAGCACTTGGAGTATTTCTTTTGATGTAGCCGCATACAACTATTATTGAGAGGAAAACAGACTCATTCTAATGGGTTTGTTTTGTTGTGCCAATGACAAAGAGATGGAGCTACAATTGTTAAATATTATATCCATGATAAAGAGTCTTCGAGGTAGATCTCAACTTTTGTATCCAAAGTACCTATGCCATTATATGTGAGCATTGGCGACTGGAAAGCAGATAGATTCTAGTGGACGTAGATGCATTCCAGGACTCAGTCCATTGTGCAGACAACCTAGAATGAAGCTACAGTGGTTAGATATTATCTCCTTAAAAGAAGAGTCTTCAAGGTTTTAGGTCTCAAATGAATCCAGCATAAGCCATCTCTTATTTCGATACGGGATTATGGGATCCAGTAATATGTAGCTGCTCTCATTTCAAGGGAATAAAGAGTGCTGTATCATGGGTAAAAATCATGCTTCAGCTTAGCACTTGGAATTTCTGATCCTATGTAGGGCAAATTATTGAGTACCTTTTGGCTGGATGTAAGCCATTTAACTTAGCTACCAACTCTTAGCAGGCACACCTATGTCGCTAATCTTGGTTTAGAGGTTTAGTTAACTAGTGCTATTTTGCCATCAATTGGCTTCTTTCTCCTCTCTTAGCCTCAAAGCTACCATGGTATTATAAATGGTCAGGTATCTGATATTTTTTTATGTTTGGAAGTTTCAAGTGGTTTTTAGGTACCTTATAATTGACTTTTGAAATGCCAGTCCTCTTGCTTATTGTTTTCGCTCCGAAGTTTAATATTTTTATTTTGGTTTCAGTCCAGTCCTTTCTTTATCAATAAGCGCCATTCTTACGATCTTAATGGTATTTGATGAAAAATTGAGATATATCTTTTATCACTCTCGTGGACATTTCAATTATGTTGCTTATGAAGTGCCCCTCTCATAACGAAGTATCTCTGAGTTAAATTTGCAACGTGCTAAAAATCCTTGATTCTTATGCTGAAACAGGTTCTTAGGTGCCATCAAGCAATATCTATGTCTTTCACTGTTGAAGAACAGTGCTTCAAGTCTAATGATCATTTTCCAGCTTTCTTGCTCCATTTTCATTAGTTTGGTTTCAAGATTTAGAGCTGGATTGAAAGCAGAGATTGGAGTGTTTTTTCCTATGATCGTTCTCAGGGTTCTGGAAAATGTTGCTCAACCTAATTTTCAGCAGAAGATTATAGTGCTTCGGTTTCTAGATAAGCTCTGTGTTGATTCCCAGATCTTGGTAGACATTTTTATTAATTATGATTGTGATGTCAACTCATCAAACATATTTGAGAGGTATGTTTTTTTTTCTTTTTCTTTTTTCATGCTATAAAGATCTGAATTTGTGACACAAACGATCTGTTTTTTAATTGGTCAAAGAACTGTTTTTTTATCTTGATTATTCAGAATGGTCAATGGACTTCTTAAAACTGCTCAAGGTGCCCCCCTGGTACTGCCACGACACTGTTGCCACCTCAGGAGGAGACCATGAAACTTGAAGCTATGAAGTGCTTAGTGGCTATTCTGAAATCAATGGGAGACTGGATGAATAAACAATTGCGCATTCCAGATCCTCATTCTACCAAGAAACCTGATGCAGGCGAGAACAATCGTGAAGCTGGAAGTCTTCCCGTGGCAAATGGTAATGGGGAGGAGCCTGTTGAAGGATCAGATTCTCATTCTGAAACCTCCACTGAAGCTTCAGATGTCTCAACTATTGAGCAACGACGTGCTTACAAGCTGGAACTTCAGGTAAGTGATTTAATTGTATTTATACACTGGCAACTGCAAATGGAATCTAATTTAAAATTTGTGGCAGGAAGGTATATCTCTTTTTAATCGGAAGCCTAAGAAAGGAATTGAATTTCTAATCAATGCAAATAAAGTGGGTAATTCAGCAGAGGAGATTGCAGCCTTTCTTAAAAATGTTTCTGGCTTGAACAAGACTCTGATTGGTGATTACCTTGGGGAAAGAGAAGATTTGTCCCTAAAAGTGATGCATGCTTATGTGGATTCTTTTGATTTTCAAGGCCTGGAGTTTGATGAGGCTATCAGGGTCTTTCTACAGGGCTTTAGGTTACCAGGTGAGGCACAGAAGATTGATCGAATTATGGAGAAGTTTGCCGAACGTTACTGCAAATGTAATCCAAAAGTCTTTAGTAGTGCTGACACAGCCTATGTCCTTGCTTACTCTGTGATAATGCTCAATACTGATGCTCATAATCCCATGGTGAAGAATAAGGTGTGTTCAAACTCTTTAGTTTATTTGGTTGGATATTTCATATAGTATGATGGATAAGTCTTCCCTCACATATCTCTCTCTGAAAAAAAAAAAAAAAATACAGATGTCAGCTGATGACTTTATAAGAAACAATCGTGGCATTGATGATGGGAAAGATCTACCTGAGGAGAACTTGAGATCATTGTTTGAACGAATATCAAAAAATGAGATCAAAATGAAAGAAAATGATTTGGCTCTCCAACAAAAGCAGTCTTTGAATTCAAACAGAATATTAGGCTTGGACAGTATCCTGAACATTGTGATCCGCAAGCGGAGTGAAGAAAAGCATATGGAAACAAGCGATGATCTTATCAGGCACATGCAGGAACAATTTAAAGAAAAAGCTCGAAAATCTGAGTAAGAACTACTGGCTCCCCTGTTCTCCAAAAAGCCATTGCTTTTCCACCCGAAACGTTATGTAACTGGTCCCACCCCATTAAGTCATCTGGGTTCTGCACTGTATTGGGCTTTCCAATATGTGTCCGGGGCAATAATCTTTATGAAGCTAAAGGCTCTTAACTCTATTGTTCACTGATTGTTTTACATGGTTAAGGTTTGATTAGTGCCTCCTGAACAATAAGCAATCCTGTGTGATAGAATTTTTTTTTTTTTTTTTAACAAAAATTTAGCTATGCCTATGTTTTATGATTATGCTCTTTGTGAAGTTGATATTTGTACTTTGGACGAAACAAAATATAATTCTCACAGATCTATATCAACCTGACAATTTGTAGGTCAGTTTATTATGCTGCAACAGATGTGGTGATTCTTAGATTCATGATTGAGGTATGCTGGGCTCCTATGCTGGCTGCCTTCAGTGTGCCTCTTGACCAAAGTGACAATGAAGTGGTGATAGCTCTGTGTCTTGAAGGCATCCGCTGTGCTATCCATGTTACTGCTGTGATGTCCATGAAGACTCATAGAGATGCTTTTGTGACTTCATTAGCTAAGTTTACTTCACTCCACTCTCCTGCTGATATCAAGCAGAAAAATATTGATGCCATCAAGGTTGGTATTTGATACAATATCTTATAGATGCTGCTGCAGATTACTTTTAAAGTAAAATTAGTATTGTTTTGTGATCCTACTTTTCTTAAGTTGCAATTTAAGAATGATTTTCAGATTATGAGTTCCTTGCGCTAATAAGAGTATATGGTTTATATTTTAATGGCTTTATGAAACTCCCTATCTTCAAAATTTCAATGTTGCGAATCCTTAGATGTGAATGATGGGAAAATAATAGGATGGAATTAGATGTGCTAGCTGAATGTATCTTTTTTTTTTTTTTTTTTTGCCTTAATGGATAAATTAACGACTATGGCGATTCACGCTTGGGATCTCATCCTTAGATGGGAATGATGGGAAAATAATAGGATGGAATTAGATGTGCTAGCTGAATGTATCTTCTTCTTCTTTTTTTTTTCCCCCCTTAATGGATAAATTAATGACTATGGGGATTCACACTTGGGATCTCTTTTTTGGAGGATAGTTTTGGATAGCAATGGGCTTTGTCTCTGCTACTATTTCTTGTATTATCTTTTTGCAGAAACAAAATGATTTAGATGAATGAAAATGTAACATGAGAAGAACCAATAGAAGGTTAGATAGTAGCCTTTATTGATGGCTCTGTGCTAGCAGTGCCAACCTTGTGTTAACAACAAATACTCATGCATAAAATCTGCAAGTTGTCACAATATATCTGTTTTCCTATTACTTTTTGGAGCTTTAACTACCAATGATCCGATTATGATATTCTTCAACTTCATCCCAATATCAATTTGCTCACGGATCTAACACATGATTTGGGTTTGCATTTTTTTTATAGGCAATAGTTACAATTGCAGATGAAGATGGGAATTATTTGCAAGAAGCTTGGGAACATATTTTGACTTGTGTATCACGCTTTGAACATTTGCATCTTTTGGGAGAGGGTGCTCCTCCAGATGCTACCTTTTTTGCTTTTCCCCAGAATGACTCTGAAAAGTCAAAACAAACTAAGTCAACCATCCTCCCTGTTCTGAAAAAGAAGGGACCTGGGAGGATGCAGCATGCAGCTGCTAGCGTGATGAGAGGTTCGTATGATAGTGCTGGTATTGGTGGAAATACTGCTGGGGCAGTCACAAGTGAACAGATGAACAATTTAGTCTCCAATTTAAACATGTTGGAAAAAGTTGGAAGCTCTGAGATGAACCGCATATTCACACGGAGCCAAAAGTTAAACAGCGAGGCAATAATTGACTTTGTCAAGGCTCTTTGCAAGGTTTCCATGGAGGAACTGCGATCAGCTTCTGATCCACGGGTCTTTAGCCTTACAAAGATTGTTGAGATTGCGTAAGTTTCATCCTACTTCTAGTTCATTTCTTGAGCTCTTTCCCCTTTTGTTCTGATTTTGTGAAATTTATATTCTGGTACTGGAAGGATTGCTTAGTAAATTTGATTTGATTTCTTATCACAGGCACTATAACATGAACCGCATCAGGCTTGTATGGTCAAGCATCTGGCATGTGCTTTCTGATTTCTTTGTAACCATTGGCTGTTCTGAGAACCTTTCAATTGCAATTTTTGCCATGGACTCTTTACGCCAATTATCAATGAAATTCTTAGAGCGGGAAGAGTTGGCAAACTATAACTTTCAGAATGACTTTATGAAGCCGTTTGTTATTGTTATGAGGAAGAGTAATGCTGTTGAAATCAGGGAATTGATTATCAGATGTGTCTCGCAAATGGTTCTCTCTCGTGTCAATAATGTTAAATCAGGATGGAAGAGCATGTTCATGGTACTAAAATCTGCCAATTTTTACTTTATTTATAATGAATTTACTGTTAATCATTAAATATTAGACCTTAATTTGATTTGTTGAGATATTATGCTTGCAATGTTTTTGACTTTGACAATCATATTGCTTCAGGTTTTCACTACAGCAGCTTATGATGACCACAAAAACATTGTACTCTTGGCCTTTGAAATAATTGAAAAGATTATTAGAGATTACTTCCCATACATTACGGAGACCGAAACAACTACCTTTACAGATTGTGTGAATTGTCTTATAGCATTCACCAATAGTCGATTCAACAAAGACATTAGCCTCAATGCAATTGCTTTTCTTCGATTTTGTGCCACAAAACTTGCAGAAGGAGATCTTGGATCTTCGTCAAGGAACAAGGACAAGGAAGCCTTAGGGAAAATTTCAACACCTTCACCTTGGACTGGAAAAGATGGAAAACAAGAAAATGGAGAAATCATGGATAAGGAAGATCATCTCCATTTCTGGTTCCCTTTGTTAGCTGGTAAGGAAACTGGATAAGTTGGCATTTGATTTTATGAATTATTTGATTATTCTCAAGTTGTAGAACCTCTTTGTTTTATTTTCCTCACTTTCAGATGTCCTTAATTTCAATCATTTTTTTATTATATTAATTATTTGTGGTTGCCTGGTTGGTTTATGCAGGTTTATCAGAACTTAGCTTTGACCCTAGGCCTGAAATCAGGAAAAGTGCCTTACAAGTTCTGTTTGAAACTTTACGCAATCATGGTCACCTTTTTTCTCTACCTTTGTGGGAAAGAGTCTTTGAGTCGGTCTTATTTCCTATATTTGACTATGTGCGGCATGCTATTGATCCTGCTGGAGGCGACTCCACCGATCAGGGGATTGTTGGTGATACTGGTGAGCTTGATCAAGATGCATGGCTTTATGAGACATGCACCTTGGCTCTTCAACTAGTTGTAGATCTTTTTGTAAAATTCTACAACACCGTCAATCCACTTTTAAGAAAGGTGCTACTGCTTCTGGTTAGCTTCATTAGGCGTCCTCACCAAAGCCTTGCTGGTATTGGTATTGCGGCATTTGTTCGTTTGATGAGCAATGCCGGCGATCTGTTTTCAGAGGAGAAGTGGTTGGAAGTGGTTTTGTCATTAAAAGAGGCTGCCAATGCAACACTCCCTGATTTCTCTTACATTGTTAGCGGAGAAGCCTCAGTAATAAACCATGAACAAAATAGTGGAGAGAATGCTGGTGACGTGCCTGATGATGATTCAGAGGAGCTGATGACACGGCGTCTTTATGCTTCTATATCTGATGCAAAGTGTCGAGCTGCTGTTCAACTTCTATTGATTCAGGTACTTGACTATTTTATTTCAATATTGCAGAAGTATTGCACACAATTATATGGGTTTGTTCACTAGTTTGAAACAACCGACGTACTGCTTGTGGGTGTTGTGCTCTACCTCTGCAGCTCTGTTAGGTGTGAGTTTGAAGGAAATATGTGAAGGAAAAAAAAAAAAATGGAACTATTCCAAGGACACAGTGTTGAAATTTAGCAAGGCAATTCTTCATGGGGTGGAGACAAGGGTGAGGACGGTTGCACAACATTGATGCCAGGCGCTTCTAATCTGAAAAGTTAGGCACAATATTTATACCAGACGCTTCTAACCTGAAAAGTTAGGCACAATATTGATACCAGACGTTTTTAATCTGAAAAGTTATACACAGTTCTAAACATAAGTGTCCCTGCTTTTTCATGAAGTTCTGAAAATTGGCTTTGTTTCTAGACAAATTGAGGTTGCAATTGAAGAAAATGAGTTTGATCTTGAAATTTTGTTAAGGTTACTCATAATTAGGAGAGATGTTCACAAATCATAAAATTTTGAAACCGTGGCAAGTTGAAGGGCTTCGTTTCCTGCCCCATATAGCATTGTGTTTGTGCCTGCGTGAGTGTATGTGCCTCAACAACATCAGTAGTCTGATGGTTTTATATGTTCTTTTTTTTTTTTTTTTCTATTCCTCCTGAATAATTGGTTAATCAGAAACATTGAGTTTTGTGATTCAATCCATGGAACAAAAGTGTGAGCATTCTGTCGTTCTATTTGGCAGGCGGTGATGGAAATCTACAGCATGTTCCGGTCTCACCTTTCAGCAAAAAGTGCCTTGGTGCTCTTCAATGCTTTGCATGATGTGGCATCCCATGCTCACAGTATCAACACCAATACAACTTTACGTTCAAAGCTACAAGAGTTTGGCTCTATGACCCAAATGCAAGACCCTCCGCTATTACGCCTGGAGAATGAGTCCTATCAAATTTGCCTCACATTGTTACAAAATCTTATACTCGACAGACCTCCAACTTATGATGAAGCTCAAGTGGAATCCTGCCTAGTCAACCTTTGTGAGGAGGTTTTACAGTTTTACATTGTAACTGCCCTATCTGGACAGACATCAGAAACTTCTGCCAGTGGACAACCCCAGTGGCTGATTCCTTTAGGTTCTGGAAAACGAAGGGAATTGGCTGCACGCGCACCTCTCATCGTTGCAACTCTCCAGGCTATCTGTAGTTTGGGAGAATCTTCATTTGAGAAGAACTTGGCTCATTTCTTTCCTCTTCTTTCGAGCTTGATAAGTTGTGAACATGGGTCAAATGAGGTCCAGGTTGCTCTCAGTGATATGCTCAGCTCATCAGTGGGTCCTGTTTTGCTTCGGTCTTGTTGATCTTGGTGAGATTCAGCTGCATTTTGGGTTGTCTTGTACTTTATCCATCTTAGTTCTTTTTTTCTTCCAAGTTTCTTTATTATAATTTGTTACTGAAGATATAGATTCATAGTGTATGAAGAGTTAGATGGTTATGGCCTATGGGTCAGCCCATCCTTCTGAACCTTGCTGTAGGTTATTCGGGAGCTAGGTTCGTCCTTTGTCCAGAATTCATAGATGTCATCAGTTTTGATGTTGTATGCTAGTCATATTTTTTTCCCTGTTCCCATCAACAAATTTCAGAACAATACTTCCTGTAAAAAGTCTATTCAGCGTGTGAGGTAGAGGTCATTTTCCCAATTCTCTGGTGATTTATTTTACTCTGGGTTACGTGATGTTCGAATTTTGTGAGTTGGACTTGGATGTTTGATTGCAATTTTTTCTTATATACTTCAGCGAATGAAGAGGGTTATTAGACTTACTGAATCTCATATGCTACGTGCCAACTTGGAGTAATTTTATATTAAATACAAGTTTTTTATTATGCAGGACTGCACTTTTAGGGCAGGAAGGTAAGCATGGGTTCTGATTTCTGATGCCTGGATTATTTCAGGCCGAGTATTATGATGGCGAGCTTGAGGTCTCGTTATTTTCGTGACGTAGACATAAAACTATCTAGAAAAGCTAACACTAAAGTCTCTCCTGCAGTTGCCACTCTTATAATATGATTATTTAGCCTTGTAATATATACATGGCTGTCGACAAACTTCAACGTTGTAGATGCCAACAAAACTATCGAAGTCTAGTTTCGGTGACCCCAACATGTAAATACTAATTTACTAAGGCTTCTGCCTGTGAAAAAAGTAATATGCCGGCTCTCTTTTTACTAGGACTTGATCAATTCTGCGATGACGCCTTCTTTCTCAGCATATGATAATCCCAAGGTACTGACGAGAAGGATTGTCTATTCTTTACGTAGGGTCTAAAGTGTATCCATAGAATTATTGCTAGGCGACAAACCCATATGCTGATCTCTACCATTCCCATCCATATAACCCAAAAATTTATACGATTCCACTGCATAACCAATCACCATCCCCGGCATTCCTACCGTCATTCTTCTATTACCTACACGCACAAGCAAAACCATGCTGGATTCTTTCAGAACTTGCTTGAGCTCTCTGCACAGGAGGGCGAAAACCTTACTTCAACAGCTGAGAAACATGGATAGAGTTAGTAAATGCAAGAGGAGAAAAAGCAAGAGGTTATTGTCTTCAAGTTTTGATTTGCTAACTTCATCTTTTGCAGCCATGGAGATGTCCAACCAACTCAAACAAGTTTTCAAGGTCATAGACGCTAATGGGGATGGCAAGATATCCTGCTATGAGCTCAGCGAAGTTCTACTGTGTCTTGGCTATCAAAAATCAAAAGCTGCTCGGGAAGCTGAAAGAATGGTGAGAGAAATGGACTGTAACGGAGATGGATTTATCGACTTAGATGAATTCATCGATGCTGTTAATGACGATGGAAACTTTACTAGCGGTAACAAGGAAGATTATCTCATGGACGCTTTTCTGATTTTTGATACTGATAAGAATGGACTAATCTCGGCGAGGGAGTTGCAGACCGTTCTTACTAGCCTAGGATGCAAAAAATGCAGCCTCGAAGATTGCAGGCGTATGATAAAAGGGGTGGATAAAGATGGCGATGGTTTCGTGGATTTTCATGAATTTCGATCGATGATGACAGCAGGTGCAAGCTAACTAGAAGATTAGCAAATGATCCACGTACGTTGCCCTTTTCTTTTATTTATTTATTTATTTTTGCTGCTTTCTGCTATCATCAAGCACAAGTGTTAAAAGATTCGAAGCCCAATGTGAATATCTATTATTGAATGGAAGAAGCAGCTTTACCAAATGTTGGGAAAATTTTGACCTTATCAAATTATTGAAGTAGGGTAGTTTGTCATTCTTTGGATGAAAAAGGGCCTTTTTCAAAGTTCTGATGTGATATCTTCCTCCACATCTACATGGCAAAGACTAGCTAATTGATTGGAAGTACTTATAACTTTTATTATCATGAATCAAACATACTCGTGGACAGATGTTCTAATGTGCGTAAATAAACTTTTTTATGTGATAATAATTGTAGCGGATGGATAGAGTTCGTCCACAGGTGATACAAGACTCTTTCTATCGGATTTTCCTGAATCTTATCAGTTTGATTGGCCACAAGCTTTCTGATGTGCAAAGGAACAAACCAAACCTTGAGAAAGCCACTAGACGACAACACTTCGGAACAGGACATTCTATATGCAAACAAACATATGCTTATCATGTTATTTATTTGTCAATTTCAGAAGTGGAAATTTCCATTCAAGCCCTGGTACTGTCATTCTCTTACCCCTTTCCGAGCTCTTTGTCTCATGCAAAACCTTTCGCCAGCAAGGAAAGTCATATAATTATTTGATGTGAAATTGTGGAATAAATGGGCTTTGAAAATGGGCCTAATCAATCTGTTATGAGTCCTAGTACCAGTAATTTATGATTATATAACTACTTTCTTATAAAGATCGTAGTGTATTGAAAAAAAAACTAATTGTAGGACTCGCCAATCAAAATAATGGATGATTCTTTCTTTTGGTTCAGTGGAAAGCTCAATGGATCTTGAGTTATATAAAGCCTAAGACCCTTTTTTTTTTTTTTTACATAATTATAATTGAAAAACAACAATTAATTACTGATATTTGAACCTTATTTTATGACAAAAAAGCTACTGATAGTTCGCTCAACTTAACCTGCTTGTGTGGTGAGTGGTTCGTTTAAGAAGTGGCAACAGGTTTCCGATTTTTATTCTAAAATTTCTACAATCTGAACTGCCGGATTTTGTACATGGATCGTATGACATGGTTTTCCCAAGAGTTAGAGCGTAGCCCATGGTGATTCTTGATTGGTACAATATCAATACTTATTCTTAAAATTGGGCCTAAACAAGTATGACAGGCTATTAGGTTATTGGACTGACACATTCATTGGAAAGAAGAAATTTTCGTGTAGTCATTTTTCATAGAGGGACCTAATCTTTTATTTTTTTCCTTTTTTTCTTAAGGCGTAAACAATTGATTATTTACCTTCATTTTCTAAAAATTCATAAATTAAAGAACGGTTTTTATGGTCTAGTACAAAGAAAAATCATGAAATTTGTTATAATATTATAATGAATGAAAACTATTACCCACAAATCCACAATCATATGCAGAAAAAAAAAATGATCATTAGTTATCCACAATTAATAGAGGCCCAAGAAAAATTTTCAACAGCATCTCAGCCTTTTTATAACTATTCAATTTGTCGTTGCATCTCATGTTAAGAAGGTAAGTGTATTCGTGGGTTTCACGAGTTTATTGGGCTGACAACTTATAGCGAGCTTCAAACAATACGTTTGAATTGAAATTAGATTTGTTAATGCATTACAGACAAGTGCTGGTGCAAATGAACTTTTTAAAAACAGGCAACTTGATCGTGCATGCAAGAATTTCTCCTCGTTCTTACAAAGTTTTTGTTTTAAATATTAAAACTCTCATTAATCGATGTTAAACATACATCATGCACAAACTGAGTTGATTTTTTGGCAAATTATGTTTTAATTTTCAGGTTTCTTCATATATATTTGGTCTAGTTTTTCTCATAACTTAAATTCTATTCTTCTAGATGGAACTATAGTATCACTTCTACTAGATTTTAGTCTTTCTTGTTCTCTATCTCTTGTATAAAAAAATAAAAAGAAGAAAAAATCTTTGGATCAGTCAAATTAGACTAGTATCTTATCAATCCGGCACGTTATCGATCTAAGTTTTATTAGAAAAAGACATTTTGCTTGTTATATTATTTATCTCGAGCAAATCCTAAATATGTGTATTTTTTTACCCTTCATTGTACGATTCCAACATATGGTTATTTATGTACAGAAATTCTTAAAACAAAGAATAATTAAGACAAGATTCTTGTGATGATTAACGATTAGGAAAAGCTTAAACCTTCTAGGTATTTTAAGGCCCTTAATTCTTTATATTATATGTTTATGTTTTATTAATTCACATTCCATTGCTGCTTTAACAAATTAAATGATTAATTTTTCAATTCCTTATTTTAAAGATAGATCATATGGGGTAATTAAATTGACACGCTTTTCCCGCAGGACATGTCAAGTACAATCATTTTGTTTTCTTTTGCATCTAGTAGGATATTGAATTTTCTTTTGGCTTCCATGCATCATTATGATCATGTTTTTCAATAACATTTTTAGAAAGCCGATGAAATAGCAAAACAGGAACTCATCGACAACTTTTAGAATGCTAAGGAACACTTATAAAAATGCAAAGCCATCATTAGTTTAGCACATTGGCATGGTCTTCCAAGACAATAATATTTCACATAGTGTATGCATAATTAAATAAAAATCATTATTTTAGTACCAATCATTTCTTAAAAAAATATATATATATATATCAAAATCAAACTGTCAGAATTACTTCATCCGACTTTGATATGTGAACGGGTTATCAACAAATATATTTCTACTTTGTCATCTGCACTCCCAAATATGTAGGAACCAAATTTTATAAAGCCTAATTCTATCTAGTTTCTATATAACATCTTAGCCAATGGATTGTCTTTGGCATAAAATATTAGCTTATTCATTGAAATTGATAGTGGTTAAAAGTACTAGGATCCATAAATAGATTTTAATAAGAGAAAATTACATTCCTATAGCAGACACCAAGTTTTAGTAACACTTACAAAAGAAAAATACAGGTGATGTGACAAGTGAATATGGCTTGGTTCATGCCAAGAATTGTTTTACTGAAAAATTTCAAGTGCTAGCTAGCACCAGCACAGTAGCACCTTCAATAATTATTGTGGCAACAGTTGACCTTACTTGCACTATTATGCCTGCCCTGTGCTAAAACATATGACTTGGTAATTAATTTCTTAAGGGATACCAATGTCAAAGAAGTTTGAAACTTCATGATAATTAAGAAAAGGGATAAACTTCAAAGAAGTTTTGTTCCTAATTGTCATGAAAGCGATTAGCGAGGTTGACGTCAGTTGCCCCAACAAAACTGCAGCTAATAAAGAATTAGGGAGCAAATTAGGGTTTACTAGAATAAATTAACTGGCCTGCATTAAATTAACAACAAATATGAAAGAAATGGTTGACAATATGGTACTAAGTGCACTAGTGGTTAACTTTGAAAGAGGTCATATAAGCAGTTGAAGGGATCAAAAGACGAAAATGATTCCAAAAGGGATCGCTATCAATCACATGGGAACCTAAGTATGGTCGGCTGATTAGTGTCTAAAATATTGCTGGTGCTCTAGGCGATTTCGATTAATTAATTAAAGCATGAAAGCTTTCAATTGAACTTCCATGAAGGACAGGAAATGGTTGCAGCAATCTTAAGCCACTTTGAGTGAAAAGTGGCTTCTCAAAGAGGGAGAGAACATGCAACATTATGCTAGCTAGATTCGGAGCCATCATCGACCATTGGTGCCCTTCACATGGAAGTAATGGTGTGGTCTTCCATATGCACTAGCGCTTTAATCTACTAATAATTGTTTATTAATTTGGACAGGATAATGGGGTTTGCTTTGTTTAATAAAAGAGAGAGTTGATTAAGATAAGCATACTACTTTATGTTGTCGTTGTATTAGCATGAAAGGCGCAACAGTTTTCTCCCCTTTGATTTGTATATATATATTTTTTCTATTTGTTAAGGGAAGACTAAGTCTTCTTGAAGACTTAAAAACCTGTAATGTTCACCATGTTCAACAAGAAAACAAGTTGGTTTGCTTTCGAAGAGTTTTTTTTTTTTTCCCAAAGGCACTCCCGTGAACTCAACGCCATACGTGAATTTGGTTAAGTTGGACTTATGTGCAACCCAAAATTTCGACCCTCAATTTCACTATCAACTATATAATCACTCAAAATATTTCTAGGTTTTTTTTTTTAATTTTTTTTAATTTTAATTTTAATTTTTTTTGAAACAACTGTTGTAGAATTCAATAAAATGTTAATAGAAAAACCAAAGCACAGGGAAAATAGAGCTGAACCCCAAGAAGTAACTACGCTCTAGCTAGCTAGCTAAAATGCTTAACCAACGAGTACCAGGGAACTTGTGAATAATAAATCATCTTGAAGTTGCATCGTAAATCTCACGACCTCATTTGAATGGCATTATAAGCATTTTATGGGTTCAAAAGAGGTAGAAAACAAAAATTTCTCACGCATGCTTACAAATTAATGAGTAGAATCAGAAAACGTTACTATATGCTCAGGAATCATACGTACAAAGATTCATCTCATCGTTTTAATCAATTTATTCCCTTTTAGGAGAGTGATTGGATTGATAAAATACTCTAGCTAGAGCAAAGAGAAGATGAATTAGTGTTTGAGTAATTGTAAAGAAGGTGATATGATGGTATATATATATATATATATATATATATATAGATTAACAAATTCGCAATGGAAGCGAACAACAGTGTGTGAACAATGAGGTTTTGAGGTTTTGTTTTGTTTTCTGGTTCTTAACAAAAAAAAAAAAAAAAAAAAGAAGTGATTTTAAAAGAGCCATCGTGCCACATTGCCACTACTATTTGTTGAAGAAGTCCTGGATTTCAGTACCTAGGAAAGGAGAGGTGGTGGGGGCACCGTTGACTATAAAAGAAAATGATGGTTTGTATTGTATTCTAACCATTAA